TGCAGTGTTGGTGTCAATACGGTTTTGGACTTCATTTTTTACCTTAAGAGAACTTTTATTATTTCAAGTTCGGGAACGAAGACAAGCTCAATAGCAACAATTGAAAGACTTCTGAACTCAATAGCTGCGAGAAGCATTTCACATCAGGATTCAGTTACATTACGTCTGGCTTTATTACCTTTCCATAGGTACCATACCATACCATACCATACCATAGCAAGCATCTCAGCTCAGCCAGACTCATCCCTACTTAACCTCAAAATCTCACAACAACAAGATGGCCACACCAAGAGGACCAAAACACCGCTCATATCTTCCCACTCCACCAACATCTCCCGATCAATTCCAAACCCCACCTCCTCTCCCCCTCCCCACCAAAATGACAAGATTAGAATCCTGGAAAAGCGCTCGCTCGAGATCTTTGGATTTCCTGGAAAATAAGTCACTCCCTCCAACTCCACTACGAGTTGTGTCTGCTCCAGTGATCAATACCGTCTCCAATCAAATACCAAGCTATGACCGGAGTTCCTCTCGGGAAGCCATTGCCGACTCGGAAGTGGAAGCCGATTTGCCAAACCGATATACCACTTCTTATTATAACATTTTAGGATTACCAGAGAGTCCTAATGTTACTACTAAGGATATTGAAGAGGCATACAACAAGCTCGGTAAGATTTTTCTCTTCTTCTAAACTTTTAGAATCTTTTTCCATCCACCTTATTACTCTACAACGTATACAACAAACCCAAACTCACAACTCTCACAGCAGGCAAACCATCAAATTACACCCAAGAAACCCTACAACAAATCCATAAAACGCTCACCAACTCCATCAGACGACGTACCTACGATTTAGGTCGTCGAGCCCATTTGGTCCGTCAAACCCATCTCATAGATCGGGAGCGTTTCGAGAGGAAAATGAATGGTAATTTCTTTCCAAATCCAAAAAGTATCTCTGAGGAAGCCAAAGAATTTGTGAATAACATAAAGACGGAAAATTTGAAGAAGAAGATGGAGAGTGTGAAAAAGGAGCTTGCGGAAAATGTTGAGAAAAAGAGTAGATTGATGGGATTGAGTATGAATATGGATGGAATGAATGAAGAAGAGGGAGTACCTTGGGAGGAAATGGATTTTGGTGTTAAGTGGGCTGAACCTATTGGAGAGAGGTTGAGTCTTGATTTTGAGTTTGCTGGATCGGGGAGTGAGCAGGATTCTGAAGAGGAAAATGGATCTGAAAGTACATTTTCAGAGAGGGAGGAGGAAAGGGAAGAGAAGAAGGCTGTTCGAGAGTCTAAAGAAATTGAAGAGTGCAAAGAGGTCGAAGAGCTATCTGTATCTGCAATGGCAGTACCAGTCTTGGAAGCGGCTGCCTCTGACCTCAAAGTGACTCCCGCCATTCCGGGAAAGACTTCAAAGAACAATGGACAGGGATCCGCAGCTAAAGACTACAAAAACAATGTTCTAAATATCCCTAGATCGACATCCAAAATCGACAAGTCCGTTACGCAAACGTACCCCGAAACAGATCATGCCAGCCTCACCACCACCATTGACCTTCTATTCCCACCCCGAACACCAACACCAACACCAATCCCAGTCCAGGAAACAAGATGGAAACCGAAACCCATCTCATACAAAGAAATCTGGGAATTCGACTTTAACTCCGAAACCGATACCGATACCGAAACAGAAACAGAAATCGATGAAGATCCCGATACAGACACAGATACAGATACCGATACCGACACCGAGAATCCACCCAACACACCCTCTTACTTCAACCCAACGCATGAGAATGTCCAAACTAATACCTCCACCATCTCCACACCCACTGCATCCCTTCCAATCCCCTCCCTAACCGAATTTGATCCCAACCGTGATCCCGAAATCTGGGAACCATCCTACAACGACCACATCATCAACACTATCAATAATTATTCACAAAACGAAGAAGATGAAGAAACAACTCTCTTCACAACCCACTTACTCGCCGCAATATGGGTAGCTATCGCTTCATGGGTTTGGTTTGGTTATGTGGATGTTGCTGTGGATATTAGTATGTGATTATATGGTTCCTTTTCTTTTCTTTTTCTTTATTTGTGGTGTTTTGCTGGAGATTTTTTTGGTTTTGTGCGGGTTTTGCTTTAAAGTTACTTTTGCTTTGAGAGGGATGAAAGGGGAGGGGCGAAGGCATACATGAATGGATGAGTGGTGTGGCAGGAAGGAACGAAGGAAGGAATAAACCAAACCAAGGAAGTAATCCTCAAGTAGCTAGTTAGCTAGCTGGCTGCTCTGAAATATGAAATATAAAATATGAAATATAAAATATGAAATATAGGAAGGAACAAACAAGGAACGAACGAACGAACGAACAAGTAATCTTACCAAATCATACATGCATACATACATATATACATTACTCAATTACAAGATAACTTTTTTGAACGTTTAGAGTTTACTTACTACCTGGCTATTCCTCTGTACTTAGATTACCTAGTTAGGCTACGAAGTAACTTTACCTATCTAATCTAATGGATATAGAAAAATTAGATCTAACATCCATGTATGATATATATATATATATATACAGGTACTGAAAGGATAACAAGTACTTACTTAATAAACCGTTTAAAGTAATGACCTCTTACAAGAATGAATGAAGGAAAGCATAAGGTCTAGAATAAGGAGGCATTCGGAGTAAATCGTATTGACTAAAGAGGAAACTAATTACAATAAGAGAACTCTATATATAGAGAGTTCTACTGGTACTAATCGGGGCTAGCTCCCCCCGCGTTCTAGCACCACAAGAACCATCCTTTCAATATAAATCATAAATAATATCATTAAACCAAAATATAAGATTACAACCATGAATTCCAAGCAATAAGGAAAATATCAGGAAACTTTTATTTTACTCCTTTCTATTCATCTCTTTATCTTTTTATCTCTGTAGTGCTAGTGCTATGCATGCTATACTATACTATACTCCTTCCCCAACAAAATTGTGATATATCGTCCGTCGCCGATAATAAGAATCAAACAAGCCAATGCAGAACAGGGTATCTTCACTGCATTACCACATACCATCATCTATCACTCCATCAAATCATCATCGTCATCGTCACCTTCATACAAATCTCAATCATTTGAAGATCATTCCCATGTGTTCATCCACTGCAACCTCCCTTCACCTAATCTAATCCCCACGTCCTTCAGCCAAACCACTTAAACCTTCTCACCCTCACCAACCGGTGTATTCGTCCCTTTCGAATGCGACATACTATATGGAGCCTGCGAATTGTTGGTCAATGTCTATTCTCTCTGAATCTTGGTATCTTTTCTAATGATGTCCGTCATTCCGATTCGGGTCGGATAATCTCCAGGATATCATAATGAAAGAAAATAGTTTAAAAATGGAATGTTGAAGTAATCGGAAAATTATCGAAAAATAGTAGCCCATCTTGTGAACCCATCCATTGAAGTTGATGAAAATTAGAAAAATCGAAAAGAAATATATCCTCATGTATCACGTCGTAATGACGCTGGTCGAGAAAATGACCTTGGACGAGCTTGAGAAAATCTGCATACCAGTACCTGCTTCGCATTACAAATTCTCCAAGCCAAATTTCTAACATTCCCATCCGCTCTCACTACCTCTGGCGCAAACTCAATACCAAACATATAATGGACAGCATGCACCACGCGCCTCGGATATTTTCCATCTCGTGCCACAAGTTCCCCAAAACTTTCATCTACTGAGTTAGGAGCAATATCCGGATCTCGATCAAAACAATTGCGCACGACGGGTAAGAGAGCTTGCTCGACTGCACTACGGATTAAAGACTGAGATTGGGAGTTTTCGGAATCAAGAGAAATGTTTAGACTTGAGTTTTCGTCGTCAAAACGAGGGATGCGAATTTCAAAGGGAAGTGAGATGGCCATGACGTTGTGTTTACCGTCATGATGGTAACGGAATTCGAAAACTCCTTGGTTCCAGAAGAGTTTGTCGCCTTCAAAGAGCATTTCACCTTCAACGTAATCTTGAGTTGATCCATCTTTACGCGTTTCGCCTGAAACAAATTTATTCGAGACGAGGATACCTTTATCTGCTGGTGTAAATTCGTATTCATTAGGAACAGTGGCGACCCAACGACCGGATGTAGGAATTCGCGTTACTTCTCGAGATGCATTGTCAGCTACCATGTACAAACCTACCCAATCAGCATTGCTGTGATTTATTGGCGCTGTCCATTTCACTTTAATTGGTGCACCGTATTCAAAGACGAGTGGCTTGAATTCATCCATTCGTTCTTGTGGCAAGCGGGCGTTAATTCCTTCTTTAGAAGTTGTACGTTTGTGTACAGTCGAATCAAAGGATGTACCCTCGATTTTTATAGAATAATCTCTCGGATCAAAGCCGGCCAGATCTGGTGCAATTCTTGTTAAGGTCAGACGAGCAGGATATTGACTGAAGATTGCAGAGGTGTCTCTGAATATAGTAGAAACACCAGCTGCAAATTTCGGTCGAGCGGCGTCCAAAAACTCTTCAACGAAATGACCAGTTTCCTCCAAGACTCTATCAACGTTACCATGCCATTTCTTGATTTGAGGTGGTAATGACCTCTTGATGCTTTTTGATAGACCTGCTTCTGATCGAAGATTTCGTCCATATAATTTCTGCATGTGAGGCTTTTCAACAAATTGGAGGAATGCAAATGTAAGTGTATGACTGAGAAGCGCTAAGAAAAATACAGCTCGGCTTCCAGTGATAAAAACAGCTCCCCAAATACCAGCAAGCCCGATGATACGCTCTGGGTTATTGAGATATCGGTAAATACCACTGTAAGTAAGTTTGGGCGCATGATCAAAGAAGAAGTCTCCAAAGAACCATCCAAATTCACCTAAAGACTCATAGATACTGATGGCAGTCCAGATTTGGAGAGAAACCAGGCCAGCACCTATGACATGTCGCAATAAGACGAGCCCATAAGCCCAGTCGGAAGGCACAGAGTACATCTTCCATGTTGCAGCAATGAAACTTGCGTAGCACATTGTCATGCTCAAGTGATACATCCCTTTCCACTGTCGCCAGGCTTCTTCTGTACTATCACCATATTTGACAAAATGTCGTGTCCACATCTTCTTGTTCGATTGTCTGTCAAGAATGATTCCAAGACCAACGGCGTACCATAAACGCCAAAATATAGCATGGATAACGAACAGTGCTTGATAAATTGGGGTTGAGGGCGTAAGTGCAGTAATGAGAAAGACATAGCCTTGAAGTAGAAGAACGGAAACATCTGTAATTCGGAATAGATCGATGTTTCTCAATCCCATGAGGTTATGGACGGATAATGGTTGAGTAACATTTAGCAGTGGTGTAGGTGTGGGCGATGGATCTACGCTATATTCAGAACCTTCTTTACTTGATGTTAGTGTGTTTGTATGATCGCTGTCGCTTGGGCTTGAATTCTCTTGGTGCTTTCTAGGAGGTGGCGCATTATAAGTTTTTTCGATGTGAGGGTTCTCCACAACCAGTAGAAATGCAAATTGAGCCATGTGTGCAACGATCGAAATTGCTAGCACGCTGTAGCTTGCAGCCATCATTGAGATACCATAATAACCAGCATATCCAACAGAATACATTGGATGAGGTGCCATTTCAAAGACACCGTCAAATGTCAATTCTTGATCGATTAGGTAGAAGAAATCACCCCAGTACCAGGCATAATCTTTTACCACTCGATGTGCGTCAAGCTTAACCCACAGGTTGAATAAAACAAGTATGATACCTGCAACCCACCGAAGTATTGACATAGCGAAACTTTCATCCGTTGGCGCACCCCCACAAGCAATCGCAAAGAGACAGTATGACGTGAAATCACACATCAAAATGAGATCCACCACCCTTCGAAAGACTAACCATGTATTGTACTCGATAGGAGCTTCTTCCAATTTGTAATCTTCTGGTATTTTAGTCTCGAGTTCAGTCTTGATCAAACTGTATAACCACGGTCGAGGATTTTTGCCAGTATTGGGGTTCTCGAATAAATTCCATTTCTTTGCCCATGCGACTATTCTTCTGTGGTGCGATTGTATGTGAAGGAGGTATCCAATGCCGACATTGTAGCATCCTCGCCAGAACAGGAACAAGACGGCGAATACTGGTCTCTTCAGCGAACTTGGCAAGGCGTAAAGTGCGAATATATGGAGGGCAAGTATGACCAAGACAATCAAATCCGAAAGGTTCTTGGGTTGTCGAGGATCGAGTAATTGAGAAACCATATCATGGGTCTGAGGTACTGTAAATACTGTGGGGCTATTAGCTTGGACCTTTCGAAATGATAATGCTTGTGCGATAATTGAATGAAACTCTTAACTCACTGGTGCCATTGGGGGTTCTGCCAAATGTCTTCTTGTCCTTCTCGAGCTTGAAGTCTTCAGAGGGTGGCTCGGAAGCACAGGGAGCTGCCATATTATCCTCATTTGTGGTAGGAATGTTATTATTGTTTCGTTCCCGCAAACCACTTGAATCTTGGGACTTCATTGAAGAAGTACCGGTACTCATGCTGGATTGACTCTGCCGTGTTGAAAACGGCAATGACAAAGTCGTTGAGACCGTATATTTGTCAATTGAAGAGTCCTACGCGTTGTTGGACAAACACGTCGGTGGAGATTGTGAGTGAAGTGGGTGTTAGCATGTATGTATGTAGTCTTATATGTACTATGTTGAACATATGTTTAAATGTTGAATTTGTAGAAGTGGGATGAACCATATGCTGTCCTTTTCTGCGAGGTCTAGGTTGTTCAATTTGATGAATTCACTACTATAAGTCACACTTTGCATCTCCCTGCAACAATTAGAGTGGAGGTGAATTCCAACGAATTATATTGCTCACCACAAAGAATTCTCGAATTCTTGTTGGTACATGCCTACCTAGGTGCGGATATTGACAAGCTTGGATATGATTTTGTTGGTCATAATGATCAATCACCGGAATCACAATGAGAATATGAACAATCTTCTTTTGAGGATGGTAGAACATTTATATCGTTTGGGTGATTTGGAGCTTGGGGAAATACGTGGGGGATTCTGGGATTCCACTCATAAGATCATTTAACCTTTTCTCCCTCTATCTTATCTACTCCATACAGCTAAGTATTAATCCTGTGCGACGAGACGGTACTATCTACCCTCCTTATTTGCTCATTTCTTTGTTTTCGATATTCTATCTTTGAAATCCCCGTCATTTGCCAACAAACATGATATTTTTCCGTATTCAATCAAACTACTCTCGTATACGATATTCAACAAAATTTTCACATAGAATTCTATAGAATTGCCTAGCACCTGTAGTTACAAATTGACATGTGATGCCCCCAGTTATGCCCCCCCAGTTGAAGACGATCAATGATGTGCTTTTTTATGCAAGGTCAAGGATTAATTTGTCTTTTTTGTCATCTTCGACCGCTTTCAATATATCTGGGGAAGATGGAGAAGCATTCCAAGCTTGAAATCCTACACAAGGTTGACATGACGGAAGGATCCCGTACCACACCCATTCATCTTTCTATCACCCACGTTTTCTGACCTGTCAATTACTTCCCAAAGCGACCTTTGGTTGTACACATCCCGGGAAAGTGACGGAAAATATCCAGTTGATAAGAACGACTGTTATCCGATGTGCTCTGCATTTGTTCATCAATATCCCTTCCGACAACGATATATTGTACGTGGGGGTCTACTTTCATGGCAAGAGAAGATTGGGAAGAAATCTTGTCTACTCCGGCTATTGTAAAGTAGTAGTTGCCAGTGCATCTAAGATCTTCCAAGCTGGGGTATAATCAGGTCGGTTTTCCACCCCGCGACAGACCAGGTGCTTGAATGTGATGGGAAACATCAACGTCTCATTATATGGTCCACCGATATTGAAACCTCTATTTGAAGCCAAATATCTGATTTTATAATATCTTGTCACAATCCGGAGTATCACCAGTCAGACACTAGGTAAGTACCAATCGGGCTCCTTAGAAACCCATGCATCAAGAAAGAGTTTTTGCGGTCACCTTGAATGCATTCCAAAACTTTCTGTCGTGCAAAAGTAAGAGCTTTCAACATCGCAGGCAAATAATAGCAGTTGTCCATGATACATCTTAAATATTCAAAAGATCGCTGTTGTAGAAAATGAACGTCTGTAGCTGTAGAGAGTGATGATTTCAAACAATTCGACGCTAGCTCACCGCTTACCAATCAAGTCAATTATATGACCAAGCTTCGTCAAAATCCCATGCTTTGTAAACATTCTGCGACTTTATCATCCCACATTTTGTTTTCTCATCCAATAATTAATTAACAACAGTCTTCCAGATATATCACGATAAATATGGCACCTTCTCTCGAAGAAAGGCCAGAGGCTGTTCAAGATGTTCTCTCAAATCCTCTAAAAAACGCTCCCAAGCTTGTCGCCCCAGAACCCGAACATTGTCCTGGTCCAGAATCCGAAGCTGCAGGAAAGGCGGACTCTTGCGCTGGTTGTCCCAACCAAGCAATTTGTGCATCTGCGCCCAAAGGTCCCGATCCAGATATCCCAGCTATAACTGCACGTCTTGCAGGAATCAAACATAAAGTCTTAATTCTATCGGGAAAAGGTGGCGTGGGAAAAAGCACATTCACCAGTTTACTTGCGCATGCATTCGCTACAAATGAGGATAATACAGTGGGAATCATGGATACCGATATTTGCGGGCCAAGCATACCAAAGATGATGGGAGTAGAAACGGAGCAAATACATGTTAGCGGTGCTGGTTGGAGTCCAGTGTGGGTTATGGAGAATCTGGGTGTTATGAGTGTACAATTTATGTTACCAAATCGAGACGATGCCGTGATATGGAGAGGACCAAAGAAAAATGGATTGATAAAACAGTTTCTGAAGGATGTGGAGTGGGGAGAGATGGATTTCTTATTGGTGGACACACCTCCAGGAACAAGTGATGAACATTTGAGTGTGAACTCATTTCTTAAGGAAAGTGGGGTGGATGGAGCTTTAGTGGTTACAACACCACAGGAAGTTTCACTCTTAGATGTTAGAAAGGAAATTGACTTTTGTCGCAAGGCGGGAATTAAGGTATTAGGGATCGTGGAGAATATGTCAGGATTCGTCTGTCCGAAATGCACACACGAAAGTCAAATATTCCAAGCTACAACTGGAGGCGCAAGAGCCTTGGCTAAAGAGATGAATATCCCATTCCTAGGAGCTGTACCACTAGACCCTCGAATTGGGATGTCGTGCGATTATGGTGAGAGCTTTTTCGATGCATGGCCTGATAGTCCAGCCTGTGCTGCGTTGAAGACAGTTGTTAGAAGACTTGGTGAGGAGATTGGACTAGATCCTAAGAGCATTCTACCTGAGGATTGAAAGGTCTTCTGCGGAATCCACTCCTCACAGATCATTCAATAAGATCATTCAGCCGGCAGAGCATGATCTATGTCCGCTCTGAAGCATGCAGCTTCCTGTTATACAGTCAGTATCTTTGCACTATGCATATCACAATAAGTATAGTCCGTTGTCCTCGCCACGACTTGGATTTGGGAAAGACGGAAAGCAGACGTCGATAGATACCGATATATACCAAGATAAATAATATACAAAATTTTAGCCAAGCATGAGACTCTACCAAAGTTCGATTATTATCCAGTGACCTAGCAATGCTACGTGATTTGAAAGGCAAGTGCCTAGCTTTATCTCATCTCCTATTTGTAGAATAGAAAGACAGCTCATCCCACATTAGCAAAAACGTACCACGAAGTTCCAACCCCCAGCCCTATTTGACATAAGACCGTTCGGCATCTTTTTATGGTAAATATCAAATCGAAAATTTTCCTTGACTGAGCCTGAAGATGTGTGGATGTGTGAACGGTACGTCGCTGTATTGATGGGGACTGCATTATACATACCTCGATGCGTTTGATAGAATGGGCAATTTTATTTTTTTTAGCATATCTACAAGTTTGAGTGACGAATCTCTATCTTTCGAACCTACATATGCAACAGGGTGTGATAGGTTCAAATTTTAGTCGAATATAAACCATCATTATCACTATCATCATACCCATGCTAAGAGCACAACTATCCGAAACATCTAGCCTAACGTTAAAATCGTATATATAGCTCCTTGAACATTATTCTGTTAAGACTTTTAATACATTACAAATCTATTATAATTGTCATTACAACATTCTACATTATTATCCATTATTATATATTCAATGTAATGTACTGAATGATTAATTGATATTCAAACTCGATGAAACCCGGATACATCGGTCATAACTTCATGCTACTGTAGCTGGCCTGAGAATTGTGAATTTTTGAGGTTTGGTTTTTTTAATATGTATGTGGAATGTTTCTGATTCGTACACTGGTATGTATATTGTCTATGTATGCATATAAGGTTACAGCTTGGAAATTAGGATAGCTTCATAAATCTTTTCTTGACATGTCTGTCTGCTAGCGATGTTGTTGCGGCGTTTACGAATGAATTGGTGGAGGAAGTGTGGTTTACGAAGGGATTGGCAGAGGGAGGAAGTGTGGTTTGCTGTTCTTGCCAATTAAGTATTAGTTTACTGTGGTAATCACAATCTGCTAGAAGAAGACTACCTCATTCTCAGATACGTATAGTACAATAAGACATTCTATTCATTCCACTCCATTCCCCCCCCCCCCCCCCCCCCCCCCAAAACCAACACCTACACCCAAAACCCCCCAATCCCCGGGGGGTTTCTCTACAACCCCAAAAACAAAGTTAAATTCCACCTCTTACAAACCCGTTTGTTTGTGCCCCTCTTTTAAAAGTCGAAATGGGTAACCCCCGCGCGCGCCCGAGCACCCCCTTTTTTGGCTCGGGATATCTTCATCGGGATATAGAGGGGAGAGAAAATTAGCTTGGAGTAAATTGTTTTTTTTTTGGTCGGATGAGCGATGGTTTGTGGTTTGTGGTTTGTGGTTTGAGTTTGGAGGGGAGGTGAAGAGGGATAAGAATTGGGGGATGATGATGATTGATGGGGGTTTGAAGAGGATATTTTGACGATACGGTCGGGGGGATGGGGGCGGAAGAAGAAATGGAAGCTTGGGCTTGAAGCGTGGGTTGGGGAGAGGGAGATCGGCTTCTGCGTGAGGATTGGAAAGAGTACTGATGGGGAGGGAGACGATATGAAAACGAATATTGAAAATGGAGAAAGAGAATAAGGGAAATGGTGAAGAACAAGTAAAATCATGTATACATAGCAGAAAAGGAGAGTAAAAAGAGTGTTTGTTTTTTTGAATAGTGATTCTAGGGTTAAGAATTGCTTTCAATGAATAGTATAGATAGGTGAATTGTTTAATTCATATCTAACAGGACATAGAGTTTCTGGGAAGGGAGTTTGTTTAGTTATGGATAGATAGTATATATACTCTAGAAGAGAATCTTATTTTTAAAAGCAAGATTAAATTATACTCAGGGGGTTGTGTTTGGAAATCTAAGTTTTATAATCTTACTATAGTGTTATGACGAATCCTAACAGCTACTCAGGTGACTAAGCTTATGGTCACATGACCCAATATTGTCCCACCTAGAATCACTCAACTACAGGCCGTGGGACATAATGGGAGGCGATGGGATGTATAGTACGAAGGTCTATATAATCATGACGGATTTCCTTTGTATAGAGCTTCGTGCTCAAGATCAATCATTTAGTATACTCTACTATTAGTTACGAATTGCATATCATCATTGTCATTACTTAAGTCCCTGCTTGACGCCTAGTTATAAACCACTTCGAGAGCCTAGAGCACTTCCACGTGATCTAGACGGCAAACCTCGTAACATATAATTTACTATTTTATAATATCATTTAATTCTTATATAAATTAATAAGACTTATTTTTTTATTTGATTGGAGTTTTATTAATTACTATGTTAAAAGGAATGACCTTACACAGGGAATAGTGGGAAGCTGATAGGGCAGAACTGAGGTAATATTGGTCTAGTATATTAATCACTCTACTAAGTTCTACGGAAGTGCGAAGCTCTCCTACAGAGAGCTTCTCAATCTAGTCCTAATAGGACTAGTGCCCTGTGCACGTGCTACGCAGGAACCATTCACTTTAACATACTATAAAGATTTAGATCTAGGAATTCCAATAACCTTACAAATTCGAGACTTTTATTGGTTATTGAGTAAATGGTCGGGAATGTATATATGTATTGATATGCTTGAGATATCCCTCTACACATAAATAGAGGGGTATATAAGGGTGGGGTAAGTATACGTCAGCTTATTCTCTTCTCCTGTGATTTATCATGATATAATTACTCCATCAACACTATGAAGTTCAAAGGGGCTATTTTGATGTTTTTGATGTTTTTCCTCTTTAGGGGAAGGAGGTTTAGAGCTGGACGGAAAGGATATCGATTCGATAAGTTAGTGGATGGCTAGCTTAAGTAAGAATGACTAAGCTTTTAACTTTCCGCTTTTCGATTTGAGCTGAATTTTGAGTTTTCTTCAGAACGAACCTATGTAGAAGCTTAACTTTTCTGTGTACAACACAAAAAGGTACTTTATTTGATATTCGGAGTTTGAGCGGTTGAATTTAGTTTGTGCTTCGTGAAAAGGTACTCTAGTAACTTTTACTGACACCTATGTAAGCTTGGATGATGAACGGTATGATGGGATGCGAATAGTTTGTGATTGAGTTGTGGTACTGCGTACAGAGTGCACTGGGGAGATTATCATTATCATTACCGTTACTGAAGATTGAAGTTTCTATCTACTACACTAGTAAGTCTTACTAGAGTACTGTACAATTATACTACCCAACTAGATAGGTTCAGCCCCTGATACACCAATACTTAGTTACTCCACTACACCAAGCGCCCTTTACAAACGGCAGACCAACATCCTCCATATATCCTAGCTTCTAATATCCTAACCCAACACGGAGATTGGAACAGAATATTGAGGGATACCGATATTTTTGGGACCTTTTTCGTCATTCTTCATTTCTCAATGCATTTTTTAACTTTCTTCAATTCTTACAAACAAGATGTATTGAGTCGGGACCGGAAGGTGATCTAAGTCGGCGCCAAGTCCATCTGTCCCCCAAAACAATGTCTTCAATGGTTCATGATTACGTTCAATAGTCCCGCTTTTGATGGATATACTAGATGTAGTAGTCTAATATCCGTGGTCAACGACCCCTGGTTCAAGCGCGGAAGGAGTTTACTATTGAATTTATTCAGCTGGACACTTACGTACATTTTTGTTTTGATGGTGTTTTTATTTCAGCCTCTTCATCATATTTTCACTTCCTTTTCTCATGTCATTTTCTTTCATTAATATCTCATTTTCCTTCCTATCTGCTAGCTCTAGATACAATCCAAGTTCAGTCTGTCTCTCCTCAAGATGAAGGCATCAATCATGAGCGCGGCTCTCTCAGCCCTTAGTTTTCTTCCCTCCCTCAGCACGTGCACCCCCATCGCACAAGCTAGCTCAGTATCAAATTTCGCCATCCATCCAACTCTCCCTTTAGCCGTCAAGACTCTGACAACCTTCTCCTACCCTTCATGGGCCGAAAATTTGGCCATCAGATCCAACGGCGACATCCTAGTCTCCCGTTTCGATACCCCTGAGGTCCTCCTCGTCTCACACACAAACGCATTTGAACCCATCACCATCTCAACCTTCAACGCCACAACCTACAAAGGCTGCCTCGGTATCTCTGAAACAACAAAAGATGTATTTTACGTCATTACCTCCGCTCAAATCGACGATTCCTTCGCCAAAACAAGCGGTGTAAACTCCATCTGGAAAATTAACATGAACACATTTGCTCAAAGTAACGGAGTCGTCACATCCCCAGCTACAGTTACCAAGCTTGTCGATATCACCTCTGCCGATTTTCTCAATGGAATGACCACCCTAGATGATGAGAACATTCTCGTGGGAGATTGTTACAATGGATGGGTTTACAAAATTTGCGTCACAACTGGTGCTTATGAAATTCTCATCAATGATCCTAAAATGAAAATCCCCGTCGGTGCCTCCGCTAGTCTCGGTGTGAACGGTATTAAAATCTCAGGTTTATACCTTTACTGGACCAATACCGCTATTGGTACTCTCAACAGAATCAATATCAAATTCGATGGAACACCCATTGGATCCAGCGAGGTTGTCGTAAGCAATGTTCCTAAAGCCGATGATTTTGTTTTCAAAAGCGATGGAACGATTTGGGTTGCCCAGAATCAAGTGGATGAATTGAGTTATATTCCTGTTGGGAAAAAACAAGCTACCCTTGTTGCTGGAAGTACCATCTCAACTACTTTGGCTGGTGTTACTTCTGGTCATTTTGGAAGAACGATTGCAGATGCTAATATTTTGTATTTGGCTACTAGTGGTGGTAAGTTTCTTTTCTTTTATCAGTCTATAGTTTATCCTCTTCTGGGACTTTTGAGTACTGATATTTTCTAGGAATCGCATCGCCCATCAATGGAACTGTTTCTGTAGCAGGAAGTATCCTGATGGTTGATACGACTAGGTTGCATTAATTTATGCTTGATAGGGATATTGAATGTGATTCGATTGAATAAGATCTTCATCTCAGAAGTTGGGATGAGATTTATGGATGAGAAGAAATCGATTTATGTGTATCCATGTAAGATTACATGTATAGGAAACAATAAAATACATAATATCTAATAAGAAGCAAAGTTGTCGATTTTTAATTCTATAGATTTTTATCCCATTTGAGAATTAGACCCCTTGCTTGTGAAATTTCACAATGAAGGGATTGGAGATAGAATGAGTGATTGATTGCATAGTTGTAACAAAGATGAAGGGGTTTACGCGAACAACCACGTAAAAGAATATCAAATATCAACAGCAAAATATCCTCCCTCAACCAACGCCAACTCAGATTATTACTCTTAATATCCAAGAAGCATCTCACTTCACCCTCTATTTCAAAACCTAACACCCGCCCCCTCTCCCCAACCACCCCTCAACTCTATCTATCTACTCAAACATCTCAAAATCATAAAACCAGCCCAAACCTCCTCAATTCCCAACTTTCCCTCGTCGCCCTCCAATCAACACCAACCACAAAAAATACCAAAAAATTACAAAAGAAAAAACATACAACAGTAGGGATTCGCTGGTGGTCACCCACCCAACTACTAATCTACCGATCTGAAGCTTGTGTATGGCAGAGCGGACGGGATGCCCAATTCTCTTCAGTCTATGGTCGCATGTGCCGTTTTCTGACAGAATTAAATATGTATATCATGACGATAATTAAAGGATAGTTTGAGGTTTGTGGTTTATGGTACGGGATTTGTGGGTGCGAAGAGGAGGAGGAATGGGAGTGGTGGAGTACGGTGTAGAAGGCTTAGTTTGGTTTGCTTTGGCGTATATTAATATTTGAAGTGTGAGGTAATCTTAGGTGGGTGATTGAGGTGAATGAGGTGGCGTTGATCCTTGGTTGAGGGAGGGAAGGGTGGAGAATTTACATTTGTGGGTTAATTTGTGGATTTGTTATATGTATATGTATATGTATATTTATATGTAAGATCTTAAATACAATTACAAGATAGAACAGTCTTTCTTTTTTCTTTCTTTTTTTTCGAAAAGTATCTCGAATTCCTGGAGCTCACTCAATAACTGAGATTTATCGGTGAATTGAAGATCTTGTTCATACTGACTGACTATTCTCAAAGTAATAAACTATTCAAAAGGCTAGAATCATTCGGGATGTAAGATTTAGGATGAATTATAATTGCATGCGTAAAGAGCTCAGCAAGAGATGATATTGGTAGGAACTTTGTGGATGGTGGGGAGATAGGGTATCTGTTGAGGAAGTGATGTTATTAGATAAATTTATTAATGGTTTGGATGAATAAGATTGTAATCACTTTATTATTATATTGTTGATGAATCTGAGAGGATGATGAACCCTATCTATCTAATATACCCGTAATCTTCCTCCAGATAACCACTCTAAACCATATATCAAGCAAATTATCTAATATATGGAAACCAAAATCCCAAAACCCGTCCCCTCACAATCCACAATCCACGTCCAAAAGACTAACTCGACGGCGCCGTCGGAAACGGTAAATTCCTATGCATCCTCATAACAATCTCCGTATAATCACCTTCATTCTCCGGCGTAATAATCCCATGTCTAATAAAAAATTCAATCATCACCACCGCACTATTAGTCTTGAATCCTCCATTCAACAATTCCTCCTTGACCTTCTCCACATCCCATAAATAAAACCCCTCAACTTCATCATCACGTGGTTTTGGTACCGTGTCTTCTCCAACTTCGAGATCGTACACGTATACCATGTCTGCAGTGATTAATCCCTTGATGCCGCCGGATCCGGAGCCCGTCGATTTCATATAGGTAATGACTCCTGAAGCGTGTACATTAGAGCGGATTAGTGCAGAGTCGAGGGATGCTTCTTCTTCTGCTTCGTGGACGATTGTTTCGAAAGGTGATTCATCTGCACGTACGCCTCCTGCAACTGTGGTGTCGAATTTGCCGGGATATGAAAATAGATGTGCATTTCTTTTCGCGACCCAAATTTTCATTTCTCCATTCACACATGTGAAGATGGTGAGATGCGCTCCTCTTGCTACAGTACCAAATAGAGAAGCGGCATAACGTTCGAGTTGTACGGGTTCTTTTGCTCCTGGAATAGCATATGGTTCACTGTGTTCTCTGTGGAGGGTACTGAAAAGATCTTTACCGATTGCTTCATTGATAACTTTTGCAAATGCATTATTGCAAACGGTTGAGAAATCTTCGCTTGTGATATTTATAGGATGGAGTTGAACACTTAATGGTTGATCTTGGGTAATGGTGAAATCCGGAGACCATGGCATCTTAGAGACGATTTCCGGAAGCATATATCCATGGATTCGACTATCGTCTGGGAGATAAAGTTTATACAGTTTGTCGATATCTGTATCATATGGGAAGCTGGGAAGTAAGTTGTCAGTACTATATATACGCTACGAAGCGAATGATATGACTTACTTATCACAAGCCTTCACAAGATCTAGATAAGATTTCTTCTTCGAATCTAAAGACATTGTGGCTCTAGTATGATGTGCTTAATGTTTTGGAAAGTGGGATGGCCGAACCCAGTGAAAGTCTCTCCCTGAATACCCAGTTTTAGCAGAAGAAAACAGAAGAACCCCACTATATAAATAGTAAGTACTTAAGAAACGGTCCAAATTTGGCGTAACGTGAATATAACAGTCGTATCTATATAACCTGTGATATCATTGATTAGAACTAAACTACGGATTAAAGCACCAACCAATTTTATTCCCACAATCATTAACCTTAGTCACCCGGCTAACACATCCGTGTCACGTTAAGCGATACGCTAATCTGCCCCTGTAAGATCTACCCCGCATTACCCCAGAATAGGAATCAAACATAACTTCCTCCTCACTTCATGCAATAATGAGCTGTTATCTGATACGACGTTGTCTTACGGTATTGTCGGATAGATATGTTTAGATAGAATCATGTTATAATATAGGTTCTATAGGGGATACACATATATCTATCGTCTTTCAATTAATCAGACACTCTTCACAGTTTTACAATCAGAATGTACCTGATAAGTATCATTCGATTATCCAGTTACATAACTTACTAATGTTAAATCCAAAATACCAAAAAAATCATCCCATCCATTCCAAACCCCAATTATCCCTCCCTCCCTTCCTCCAAAAACAGCAATAAAAACAATACAATAATCCGGGCTCTGAAACAAATCGGGCTTTGAACCGGGATCTTTTATTTCCAACCAAATACATCTCAATCTCAAATCACGAGCGGTAAAATATCAGGCTATCTATGCAAGAGACCTATTTTGATCATGAGGGAGCACGGAAAAATACTTAAATATGCTTATCCCGCTGAAAGGGAAGTTGGAGTTTTGTTGTTTACTCTTTCCTGTTATTTACTCCCGATCCTTCCTTCCATTTTGGTCATTTGCTCGTATCACCCTATTCTACTTGACTTGAATTCTCTTTCGACCTTGTCCTCTACTCTTCCGTTCGTAGCTCCTCATCAGCTACTCATCTACTCAATTCAATTGACCAATTCCTCTCTACTTCCACATACAAGACCAATCCACCCATCATAATCGCCTCACAACCTCCCACCCAACGATCATCAATCCTCAACTAAACCTCCAGCCTCCAACTCCACTCCCACCCCTCCCACCGCTCCAAAAATGTCCCGACCAACCCTCTCCCAACTCTCCCGCCTCCCCCGCACCCTCAGCACCCAACGATTCGCCTCCACAAAATCTTCCGCCCCACGTCAAGCCATCTACTTTGGCCGCGACGTATACTGGGGAAAAGCCTGGAAGAATGTATACGGAACGGGACTTCTGTATGTTTCCATTTCCGAATCCCTTAAATTATTTACCCTACTACGATCAATTTAATGTTGTGCTGTGCTGTGCTGATATTTTGATTCCTCGCAGATATATTCCTGCTGTTGCTGCTGTGATGTTTTGGTGTATGCCTATTCCGCCCGTGATGAATCAGTTAAAGGGGGTTAAGAAGACTTTGGTTGGTGCGTAGACTGGGATTGAAAAGGGATGTTGATGTGCGATGAATATACTGGGTGTTTTTAGATTGACGAATTGCTGGTCATTATGAATCAAGCACAATGTAGGACATTACACCAATGATATTGTCCCGTCATGATTCCTCATTATTATTCCATGTGCCCACCATGATTGATGACCGATTGACCTAAAAAGAAATTGGGTATATCCTCCTTTATGCACGATGAACTCAACCTCCTCTCATAATATCATTCAATACATGTACTTCAAATAATACAGAATAAAAAACATGCAAAACCAGACCACCGCCATTAGATTTCCACCCACCCAAACTCCCGCTAATTTGCAATTACTACAAGGAATTCCCCTTGGTCAGATACTGTGCAATAATACCCGCGTCGGGCGTTTCATACGGAGTCTTATACTCGCTCGTTCCTCGACTCGTAAATCCTTCAACCTCGAGCCCACCAGTCGGAATATCCCCACCGCCATGATTATTATCAAAGTATCCCTTTTCTTTTCCCTTCGAACTTGTCATCCTTAGACTTTCCACATTTATTTCACTTTTCGTTTGTGAAAGATTGGCGCTGCCAGGCCGTTTCTTCTTTTTATCCCCTTTTGCTTCTCTCCACTTTGCTATCGAAGGTTCATTCTCAACCGAGGAATTTCCAGCTGTTCGCATCCCCCTAAATTCCTTGACGACTTCAGCAAATCCTTCCTCCAAAGTCTTCATTCTTGCCAACATTAACCTTCCCATCATACCATCTGCAGTTTCTTCTTTTTTATCACGTTTCATCGCCATCTCAGTAGCAATAGCCATTTGAGTTTGAAATGAACTAGGCACTGCACCAAGTTGAGCATGCTCAAGGCCCATCTCTGACAAACTAATGTTTAAACTAGAATCTTTGTGACGCATAAGGCGGTTGCGTGCAGGATCTGGCTTATTGATATTTGGAATAGATTGGAAATTCGCACGATTGGGCAGAATAGGACGTGGTCGAGTGGTTGTGTTTGTGAAGTTGGCAGTTTTCGGAGTACGAGATCCCGATGGACCTGCTGGGGTGTTGGTTCCAGTATTGGCTTGTGAATATATTTTTGCTGTTAGTGGTCGTGAGCGAGGAGGTGAAATGGATGAAACAGAAGAAGTATAAGCAACAGGGTTGAAAAGGATTGTCGTTGTAGATAAGTTCCTATCATGGGGCTTTTTCCTTGGTGTAGCTTTGGATTGTTTTGGAGGTGATCCATTTTGGCGAGCGTAATCTTGTTGTGCGTTGAATGCTGGAGTTGGAGAAACGAATCTAGTCGCGGTTGGAGTTTGAAAGTAATCTTCTTCGGATTCAGCATCACTTTGACTGAAGTTTGTCGCTGTATGCTTATCCTCGGTATGGAGTTCGTCTTCATCATTTGTCAACAATTCATCATCTCCATCCGCATCAGTATGACCACCACCGAAAGAATTTGGATGTAATGCATCATCGGAAATTCGAGTCATATCATGAAACCCTGTAGATATAAATTCCGCCGGATCACTAGCCACAGATCTATTTCCGGAAAGCTCACGACTAATTCCACGTTGTCTCATAATGGTTGCTTTTCTAGATTGTCTTCGCATCTCCAATCGTTCCAATATCGAGCGATCTTGTTCTTGTGGTGGACTAACGACCTCGCCTTGGTGCTCCATCCAGTTATTTATAACATTATGAGTTTGACGACGCTCAAAACTAGGGCGATTTCTGGGAAGAGTATCTCTGGGCGTCAGTCGGAATACTTCATCAAGAGCTCTGTCTTTCTGAAAACCAGCAACAGAAGATTCATGCCTCTGTAGATTAGGACTGAAGAGCCCATGTCTACGATCTTGAAATGACATTGTTCGCTTTGTCCTTCGTCCAACTTTCTCAACTAAATCAGTAGGTTCGAAAACAGACCTTGCTAAGAAAATCTTTTCGTATGCGCAGATACTGAATAGCAATGGGAAATGCGTAATCTTGATAACAGTACGATTCATCCTAATGAATGTCCTGAAGGGGAAAACAAACCTGAAGGGTGTAAGAACCCATGCAAGAATATTTGTTGGTGCCACATAAGAGAAGAGAGCATCATTCTTGACCATAGAGATTGTGTTGACAGCGAAGACGAATTGATGTTCTTCGTTAGCGTTTGAGACAATTGACATGAAGGAATTTGTCAAGACCGTTATGAGAATGGTTATAACGAGGAAGTGACAAATGAATAAGAAAAGCACAAGTAATGCTTTTCCAAGGAAATTATAAGTCTCCCATGCTTCCCATGCTGCAGGTGTAAATCCCATCAGTATCTGAAAGATCTTATAAGCAACCCCTGCTGCATCATATTCGCTTTTCCCAAATGATAAAGTGAATGCAACAAAAAATCCACTACAAGCTATCAAGATCAGTACAAATACCGCGACAAGATCAATAGCCATCAACCTGAATGCGATTAATAGTTGTGAGAAATATCTGTAGTGGTCGAGAACGCTGAACAATCGAGGGAAGAGTAGAATTGCATTGGTCGCAAGAACATCATATGCCATACTATTCCACTCCTCTCTTCCATAGTCCACCAAGAAGATACCATATAAGCGCATGCAGTAGTAAATCGTGAGTAAAACGAGAATTCCCAAATCGAAAGCATTCCAGAAACTCATTATGTATAACGAGAATCCTTGTTCATTAAACCCAACTACCTCATCAAGCATAAAACCTGCACTCCAAAACCAAAATATGACTTCTAGGCCCGTAATGTCGGTTGATCTTTGACTGAGAACAGCTAAAAATAGAACGAGAAGAATGGCGAGTGAGCAGGTGGAGAAGAATTGCCGATAGCGTGGTACCCTCAACCTTGAAAGCTTGAATAAAGACGCATCTCTAGGATCATATAAAGTGACTGTTCTCCTAGTCAAAGTCTGGATTGCTTGCTGACTCTCCGGTTCTTTATTAGGAGGCTTTAGAGTACCTGCTGTTGCCCCATATCGAAGTTGTTCACGAGTTAGTAATGGAACCGCACTCCCATTGCTTGGGCTTTGTTTCTTATACCCTGTCCGGCTTGTGGATGTACGATGAAGATTATCCGCTGCAGAATGGAATACAATGGTTCCAGCCCAAATAGCTTCTAGTTGTTGCACCACGAGTGGATGTGCCAATAATCGTTTCGCAGATGCCCTAATAGCTACTTCCAATGTTGATATCCTGGCCGCAACTGGCCTCGTGCGATTTCTTTGGTTCCAATTTGTTATTGCTGGATCTGGTTGAGCCAAGCCTTGTAATGGAAAGAAGTCATAAGAAAGGGCGTCGATCAACTCTCGTGTATTGTATTCCTTCAATAACTTAATGGCTAGAAGCTCACAAACTAGAGCTCTCGTCAAGCTATTCCCTGCGTTACCCGGATTTGCTTGACTTTCCTTTTTGAATTGTAAACAGTTGGCCATCAATGCATATAAAGTAGCTCGCGAAAAGTGGGAGGTTCGAATTTGTTGTTGCATAGGCTTCACCAAAAACTGGGAAACTTGTGGTGACCGTAATTGATCCCAGGTCAATGTTGTTTCCGTCCGCGGAAGTATAATAAGTCGAATGGCATGAGTGAGATTATATACTGGAAGTGCATCTATTCAGAAGTTAGTGTATCCAAATAGAGGGTAAGAACCTGCAAATACCAAGATGTGCTGCAGAGAAGATAGGCAAGAGAGGTTGATCTTCATCCCCATCTTCTTCCTCTAGTTCGTCCTCGTTAACTCTTTCATTCTCATCTGCATCGTTGTTTTCCAACACAATCTCTTCCTCAGTATCTTCCTCAATTTCTGTTTCCGTAAAATCTGCGGATGCATGTCGAGGCAAACGTTCTCTTCTCTCTGCAGCTGGCGAAGATCGATCAACATACGGTGACGAGAAAGGTGACTGGATTTCTTGTACGCGTCGTCGTGCTTTCTTTGGTCGCAGTAATGAAGATAGCATTTTTGCCTGAGATATCTTTTGACTCGAGGTCTATGGTTGAGTAATTCTTCCTCGAGGATCAAAAATGGAAGGTGGAGAGAAATGTTGATTTCTGAGGAGGTAGTCTGCCTTGATTTATTCCATCTTGCCGTGCGTCAAAGAACGAAGCAACAAGAAAGTCGATCGGCCGAAGGATTAGTCTCAATGTTTGCAAAAGAAAATATCATAACATTAGTAGAAGTATCTGTAAATAAACAATAAAATAATATTAATTTCCAGCTTATCGCGTCTCCCAGAAACCAAGGCTCAGTCGTTAAGAATGGATGGATATTCCTTGACAGTGATCAAGCAACAAATTTATCGAATTAATTGAATTATGTACAGTATTAGAAGAACCTTGATATGAGGACGGGAAATGAATGAAGGAAGTGAATGAAGATATAAAATCTTCTCTTATAGAATGTAAAGAAAGAGAGCAAATCTAAATCCTGCTTATCTCACCCCTAAAAAGCAACACAAGAAGCATCATTGAATATCGACTTTTTCGACTCACCGGCCGAGTAAAGGGAAACCTAGAAGGATCTCAACTTTTTTTTTGATGCGACCATTCATGCACGTTATTGTCTCGTTTAGATGCATGTTGCCGATCAATGCTACCAATCACCAAGCAATGGCGTTCCAATCTCATCCAATCAAAGATCAAAGCACGAGAATGAATTGAGGTTATCTTAGATAAAGATTGAGGGAGATGGAAAGTTGCCGTTCATATGAGATGTCCTCGTGATGAAATGAAGATATACTATTTCAATTGTCCAGGTAGGTAGGCCTAAATGTGCATAGATTGACAGATATTCCCAACAATTCCTAAGACTTGAATGAAAATCTTCAGTCTTCTCTTCCTCCGTCTTCTACTATCTCATCTCATTTTACAAGATATTGTTGTCATGCACCTGAGCCAATTTGAAGCTGTTGGTGGCTTTTGGGCTTTTAATATGGAAGGTCAGCTTACTTGTATATATACAATGAAAAAAGGCAGCTGTAAAAACGAGAATTCCATCAATGTCCATCTTTTCGCCTTCTAAGAGTTCTGGCCCGTTTTCTAGGTTCCTAGAGTAAAAACCGGCATTGTTGCCCCTTTGATAGATGATACTTTGTACCTCGTGCTATACTAGGCGTGCTTTGTGTCTCATGTTTTCAGTCTTTTCATAGGTAAATGGTCAAAGTTGACGAGCATATTGATTGATTTTCGCATGAGAGATTTGAAGAATCGGCATATCATCAAAGACATCTATACGGGGTCTGTTTTGCAGCTGCCTCTATTGGACAACGAGCAGGTGGTCAAGGTCAAATCATAAATGGTGTGGTCGATATGTACGAAACCTTTTTGTACTCCGCACGTTGAAGGTGGGGGCAGAGAAAAATCCTTCGAGGGATTGACTGGCTTGACCTCACATCATCAGTCAACAAACAGACCGCTATTCTCCCATGGCAGAGTACCGGTGGCAGTAATTGACTGTTTGTTCTGTAGATCTGACTCGAACACATTCGTGGCTTGGTAAAGAAATTCAAATTTCCTCCCAATCCCGCATTGGAAATTTAGCCTTGATGAAGGTGATGAGCATCGATCGACTCACCGATTCATCGACTCACCGCACATGCAACATCGTTGGAAGATAATGCTCATTAGGTAAGCAATACTTCAAGCCACCAAGATAAACATCCGCCTACAAACAATGGCGACCTGTGTAATGCAAATTTCTACCATGAAAAGAGAAGATGCTTGCCATCAACAGCAGGTGGTGTGTGCTGGTGGTTTATATCCCGACATCATTACACCAAAATTTACCTATGCATGCTAGACGGACGCTGTGACATCTAACATGCATCATTACATAGCTCCCTACAGGTGAGTCCATTTTTATTTATATAGTGCCGGTATTATTCTGGCAATGTACCAGTGAAAACTTTGAGGGGTAAAAGTAGAACGTGACGGCAGGTGCGCCCCTCCTTGATGCAAGGCTGCTGATAAGTGATGACAGCCTTGCGCTAGAAACCTTGCTAGTTTAAAAACTAACCCCAATACAGACTTGGCCCCCTTCGGTTGTTCAGCACCAGAAAAAAAAATTGATGTCCCATTTTCTGGAGAGAAAATCTGAAAACTATTTACACTTTCAATTTTTATATCCAAAAAGTCAGACGGCCAAGAATTAATCCTCAGTTACTTGTCCTACAAACTGGCGAACTTGGATCACTAAAGCACTCCTCAATCTGCTTTGCAGCTTGTTGAAGGGCATTTCTTGAAGTCCTTGCGCACATCTCAAAACCTCTTTTCAGCACCCTATATCACAATGGCAGAATTAGTTTTCCCCCCAGTTGCCGCACCAATCCTTAATGGTACAGATGAAGGACTCATAAGTCTGGAATTGAAGGATGGCACAGTTTATCAAGGATACAGTTTTGGTGCGAGGAAGAGTGTTGCAGGAGAATTGGTCTTCCAGACAGGTATGGTGGGGTACCCAGAGTCAATAACTGACCCGTCATACCGTGGACAAATCTTGGTCATTACGTTTCCTTTAGTGGGTAATTATGGTGTACCATCCAGAGAAACAATGGACGAACTTCTCAAGGATCTGCCAGCACATTTCGAGGCATCCCAGATTCACATTGCAGGTTTGATTACTGCTTCATACGCCGGCGAAGAGTTTTCCCACTTCCTCGCAACCTCCTCTTTGGGAACATGGTTGAAGGAGCAAGGTGTTCCGGCAATCTATGGTGTTGACACCAGAGCATTGACCAAGAGAATACGAGAAGAAGGTAGCATGCTTGGACGAATGCTGTTACAAAAGGATACACTTACCAATGGAAATGGCAACATCTCTACTTTATCTTCAAAGGATTGGAGATCATCGTTTGAAGCGATTGACTGGATGGACCCAAATACCAAGAACCTTGTAGCAGATGGTGAGTCTCCACTTTGCTATAGCCCGAAAGAAGGGCTAACATCATGCCTCAGTATCAATTCGCGAGCCAAAACTATACAAGCCTGATCCTTCGAATGCTTTAAAACATCCTTCTGGTAGACCTATACGTGTGTTGTGCTTGGACGTTGGATTGAAATATAACCAATTGCGCTGTCTTGTAAAACGTGGCGTGGAGGTTCTCGTTTGCCCATGGGACTATGATTTCCCTACCCTCGCTGGAAAGGATTATGATGGTTTATTTATTTCCAATGGTCCTGGTGATCCAGCCATGATGGAAAAGACTGTCAAGCACATTCAATCCGCTTTGAAGGAGAACCGAACACCAATTTTTGGTATCTGTCTTGGACATCAACTTCTTGCCAGAGCTGCTGGAGCTCAAACTGAGAAGATGAAGTTCGGAAACCGCGGGCATAACATCCCTTGTACGAATTTGTTGACTGGGAAATGTCACATTACTTCCCAGAATCATGGTTATGCTGTTCAAACTAGTTCCTTGCCCTCGGATTGGGAGGAACTTTTTGTCAACGCCAATGATGGAAGTAATGAGGGTATCAGACATGTCAACAGACCATATTTCAGTGTTCAATTCCATCCAGAAAGTACTCCTGGTCCTAGGGATACTGAATTTCTCTTCGATGTCTTCATCAACACAATTGTCAAGACTCTTGACGACGAGAAGCTTCTTTCCGCGCCAGTCGTTTTCCCAGGTGGTGAAATAGCTGAAAACCAAAAGCTCACTCCAAAAGTTAACGTTAAGAAAGTCCTTGTTTTGGGAAGTGGTGGTCTTAGTATTGGTCAAGCAGGAGAATTCGACTACTCTGGAAGTCAAGCTATCAAGGCTCTTAAGGAAGAAGGGATTTACACCATTTTGATCAATCCTAACATCGCTACAATTCAAACTTCCAAAGGATTGGCTGACAAGGTTTATTTCCTTCCTGTCACTGCTGAGTTTGTTCGCAAGGTCATCACTTATGAGAAACCTGATGCGATTTACGTCACATTTGGTGGCCAGACCGCTTTACAAGTTGGTATTCAACTCAAGGATGAATTTGAAGGTCTCGGAGGTAAGCAATATCACAACCTTCCTGCATAAGCAATTACTAACTCTTTGGTGTTTCAGTGAGTTGTAGTTTTTATTTTCCTTTTTTGCCTTTTCCACTCTCACTTCCCGTTCCCGTTCCTTGGATGAGGACACTGTCTAGAACCGCGGACCCTCGTTTTGGATTCTATCTTGAACCCTTGGGCTCTCCTGGACTCGATTGTTTGACTTTAAGCCCCTTTTGCGCTGATGTATCTCTTTATTTTTACTAATTTGTTGTTCAGGTTCGCGTGTTAGGCACGCCCATTAGCACTATCATCACTACGGAAGATCGTGAGTTGTTCGCTCGAAGTATGGAATCGATTGGCGAAAAATGCGCCAAGTCTGCTTCGGCCAACAATATTGACGAAGCTATGCACGTTGTGAAGGATATTGGTTTCCCAGTTATCGTTCGTGCCGCATATGCTTTGGGAGGCCTTGGAAGTGGTTTCGCAGATAATGAGCAAGAGTTAATGGAACTCTGTAACAAAGCTTTCGCCGCCAGTCCTCAGGTTTTGATCGAGCGAAGTATGAAAGGATGGAAGGAAATTGAGTATGAAGTTGTCCGAGATTGTCGTGACAATTGTATCACGGTTTGTAACATGGAGAACTTCGATCCTTTGGGAATCCATACTGGAGACTCAATCGTCGTTGCTCCATCACAAACATTATCCGATGAGGATTACAACATGTTGAGAACCACAGCTGTCAACGTCATCCGCCATCTTGGAGTTGTTGGAGAATGTAACATTCAATACGCGCTCAACCCTGACTCAAAGGAATACTGCATTATCGAGGTCAATGCTAGATTGTCTAGATCTTCAGCACTTGCATCCAAGGCTACTGGGTATCCATTAGCCTTCATTGCCGCAAAGCTCGGTCTCAACATTCCTCTCAATGAGATCAAGAACTCAGTCACTCAACAGACTTGTGCTTGTTTCGAACCATCTTTGGATTATGTTGTCGTCAAGATGCCACGTTGGGATTTGAAGAAATTCACTCGTGTTTCTACACAACTTGGTTCATCGATGAAGAGTGTTGGTGAGGTTATGAGTATTGGAAGAACCTTCGAAGAAGCCATCCAGAAAGCCATTCGTGCTATAGATTTCCACAATTTGGGCTTCAGTGCAACTAAGGCTTTGATGTCAATCGATGATGAACTTCAAACGCCTTCCGATCAACGTCTATTTGCCATCGCCAACGCTATGCAGTCCGGTTACTCCGTGAACAAGATTTGGGAAATGACAAAGATCGACAAGTGGTTCTTGAACAAGCTCAAGGGCTTGAATGACTTCAGCAAACATATGTCGACCTTCACTACAAGCACCATCTCATATGACCAGATTAGACAGGCTAAACAGCTTGGATTCTGCGATAGACAATTAGCTAAATTTTGGGATTCCACAGAACTTGCTGTGAGATTATTGAGAACTGATGCCGGCATTGTTCCAGTCGTCAAGCAAATCGATACTGTTGCTGCTGAGTTTGAGGCTCACACCAATTATCTCTACATGACCTACAATGGATCCGAGAGCGATATTTCCTTCAACGATCACGGTGTCATGGTCCTCGGTTCAGGAGTTTACAGAATTGGATCATCCGTCGAGTTTGACTGGTGTTCCGTTCGTGCCATCCGAACCCTTCGCGAATCTGGGTTCAAGACTGTTATGGTCAATTATAATCCAGAGACTGTCAGTACTGATTACGATGAAGCCGATAGATTGTACTTTGAGAACATTAACCTCGAGACTATTCTCGATATCTACGAATTAGAGTCTTCTAGTGGTGTTCTCATTGCTATGGGAGGTCAAACACCAAACAACATTGCCCTTCCACTTCATCGACAAAACGTCAAGATTCTTGGAACATCACCTGAGATGATTGATACTGCTGAAAATCGTTTCAAGTTCTCTCGTATGCTTGATGGTATCCATGTTGATCAGCCAACATGGAAAGAATTGACTAGTTTCGAGGATGCAAAGACATTCTGTAACAAAGTTTCTTACCCAGTCTTAGGTTCGTACTCGATTTACAATTTTATATGCTCTCACATCCAACTTGTATCCGAATCCGTAACCACTTTCCTCTTTTTCAAACATATCCCCCCAGTTTCCTAATTCAGTCTTGATTTCTTATTTCCCCCAGACACTTCGTCATAGACAATACTGACTTCCGGATCTCATATAGTGCGACCGTCTTATGTACTCTCAGGTGCAGCTATGAACACTGTCTACTCTGAGCCAGACCTTGAAGCCTATCTTGCTCAGGCTGTTGAGGTTTCTAGAGATCATCCAGTTGTCATCACCAAGTATATTGAGAACGCAAAGGAGATTGAGATGGACGCCGTTGCGAAGGATGGTGTCATGGTTGGTCACTTCATCTCTGAGCACGTCGAAAATGCTGGTGTGCATTCTGGTGATGCTACCTTGATTTTACCTCCCCAAGATCTTGATCCTACCACAATCAAGAGAATTGAAGAAGCTACTCGCTTGATCGGTAAAGCCCTCAACATCACTGGTCCTTACAATATCCAGTTCATCGCCAAGGATAATGACATCAAGGTCATCGAATGTAATGTTCGAGCATCTAGATCAACACCGTTCGTTTCAAAAGTCATGGGTGTTGATCTTATTGAGATGGCTACCAAAGCTATCATGGGTGTACCATTCATGCCTTACCCACAAACCGAATTACCTTCGGGTTGTGTAGGTGTGAAGGTACCTCAGTTCAGTTTCTCTCGACTCTCTGGTGCTGATCCAGTTCTTGGTGTTGAGATGGCTTCGACTGGAGAAGTCGCTTGTTTCGGGCGTGATAAGTATGAAGCTTATATCAAGGCATTGATCTCCACTGGATTCAAGCTCCCAAACCGCAACATTCTTCTCTCTATTGGTTCATTCAAGGACAAGAAAGAAATGCTTCCATCTGTTGTCAAGCTTCAGAAATTGGGATACAAGCTTTTTGCTACAGCTGGTACCGCAGATTTCTTGCAGGAGCACGATGTTCCAGTTCAATACCTCGAAATCCTCGGAAAGGGTGAGGATGATCAAAAGTCTGAATACTCTCTGACCCAACATCTCGCCAACAATATGATCGATCTCTATATCAATCTTCCTTCTAGCAACAGATATAGAAGGCCTGCAAACTATATGAGTAAGGGATACCAAACTAGACGTATGGCTGTTGACTACCAAACTCCTTTGGTCACCAACGTCAAGAACGCCAAGATCCTCATTGAAGCCATCGCAAGACATTATGATATGGAAATCAGTGGTTTTGATGCTCAAACCAGTCACAGAACTATTGTCCTCCCTGGTCTCATTAACATTGCCGCTTTCGTTCCTGGCATTACCACCCGTGGTAGCCGTGATTTCCAAACTGTCACCAAAGCATCCATCGCATCTGGTTTCAGTATGATTCGTGTTATGCCTCTTGGTCTTGACGGATCAGTTACTGATGCTAGAGCACTAAAGGCAGCTCAGCTTAACAGCAAGCTTGGTTCATCTTGCGATTACAATTTCTCTGTTGCCGCAACTTCTTCCAACGCCGATCAAATTAGTCAAGTTACTGGTGAAGTTGGTTCCCTCTTCATTCCATTCAACCATTTGTCAGATAATATCAGCAAGGTGCCAGCTGTTACTGCTCATTTTGAATCATGGCCATCATTCAAGCCAATCATTACCGATGCGAAGATGACTGACCTTGCATCAATCCTTCTTCTTGCAAGTCTCCATAGCCGAAAAATTCACATCACCAATGTCACTACTAAGGATGATATTGGATTAATTGCATTGGCCAAGGAGAAGGGTCTTCAAGTCACTTGTGATGTTGCAGTTTACGCTCTTTTCTTCAGCCAGGATGAGTTCTCTGGAGCTTCTTTCCTTCCAACTGCTAGAGATCAAAAGGCATTGTGGGAACACATGCATATCATTGATGTCTTTTCCATCGGTAGCATACCATATCAACTAGCAACTTTTGCCAAGGCAGAGGCAAACGCGGCTGTTGGTATTGCTGATACTTTACCTCTATTGTTTTCAGCTGTTGCAGATGGTAAACTCACAGTCGATGATATTAAGGCTCGTCTTCATGATAATCCCAAGGAAATTTTCGAAATTCATGATCAAGTCGGAGCTTCTGTAGAGATTGAGATTGATCGACCATACACTTTCAAGCCTGGAGCAGTTTGGTCCCCACTTGTTGGAAAGGTTGCAAGAGGAGCTGTTCAAAGAGTCATCTTCCAAGATAAGACTGCTTGTCTAGATGGTCTTCCTACTCAAGATGCTATCGATGGAAAAGATATGTCATCGCATCTTATTGATTTACATACCACAGTCCCACAATCACCATCCGTCAAGGCTCATCCTGGATCTCCAGGCTTCGGACCTAGACCGGATAGTTCTCATGGTTTGAGAAAGTTTTCTACATTTGGCAATGCCCCATCCTCGGCCATGCGACCCCCAACTCGATCAAGGTTCTTGGATGGTGTTGTCAATCAAACACAACAACTTCGTTCTCCAGTTAATGAAGATATGGGATCTCCATTGTATCCTCAGCCAACCATGGCACCGTCTCTACAAACTCTCCTCGGTCAATCACCATTCAAGAACCAACACGTTCTTTCCGTTAATCAATTCTCCCGTCAAGATCTTCATCTACTTTTCTCTGTTGCTCAAGAAATGAGATTAGGTGTGCAGCGTGAAGGTGTTCTTTCTATTCTCAAAGGACGTCTACTTTGCACCATGTTTTATGAACCATCTACTCGTACATCTGCATCATTTGATGCCGCCATGCAACGATTGGGAGGACGAACAGTTGCAATTGCCACTTCCCACTCTTCCACTGTTAAAGGTGAATCTCTAGCAGATTCCATTCGTACTCTTGGTTGTTATGGAGATGCTATTGTTCTCCGTCACCCTGAGGAGAGTAGTGCTGCAACAGCTGCCAAGTTTTCACCTGTACCAATTATCAACGGAGGTAATGGAAGCAAGGAACATCCTACTCAAGCATTCTTAGATTTGTTCACAATCCGAGAAGAATTAGGTACAGTCGGAGGTCTTACCATTACCTTTACAGGTGATTTACGATATGGTCGCACCGTTCACTCTCTCGTCAAGCTTCTCCAACATTATGATGTTCACATTCAACTTGTCTCCCCACAAGCTCTATCACTTCCACAGGATATATTGGCACTTATCAAATCCAAGCCTGGTCAATTACTTTCAGTCTCTACTGAGTTGACTCCTGAGATTATTGCTCGATCAGATGTTCTTTACTGTACTCGTGTACAAAAGGAAAGATTTGCCGATTTGGAGGAATATGAAAGATTGAAGGATAGCTTCATCATTGATAACAAGACATTGAGAAATGCTAAGAGTTCAATGGTTGTTATGCATCCATTACCAAGAAATGCCGAGATTGGAGAGGAAGTAGATTTCGATCAAAGAGCTGCATACTTTAGACAGGTACGTTACCCTTTCTCTTAATGATTCAATCCTTACTAATTAATTTTAGATGAGATATGGCCTTTACTGTCGCATGGCATTGTTGGCCTTGGTATTAGCACCATAGATTTGATCTTATATATCTTTTATGATCAGGATTAAAGACATGGCATGGCATGGCGTTGCACACGAATGGAAGGGAGGAAAAGTCGATTTTTATCTTTTTGGTTATATGATTATGAGTAAATGCATTAGATACGCGTAGACACTCTTTTATGATTTGTAGAAATGGTCTCTTTTAATGATTTTGATGTATATTTATTGGAGTGATGGGTATATTTTACGTATACGTATAGGTGTATGTATCTTCATACGTATATATGTATGTATTTATTTATTGGGATGGTTTATGTATATAATGTATATGTTAGATGTGTTGGATGTATAGTATGTGTATTATTTATATGTATATATAGTTTAGGTTTTATGTATAAGTATTTAGTTTTTAGATAGATTTTTAATTTTAATTTTAATCAATTTCATTATTATCTTGATTTCATTGTTATTTTTTTTTCCTTCGGTCTTGATTATTATTGTGTATGTGTCTGTGAGATAGAGATACTAGGTAGAGATAGGGATGGACATAGAGATGGAGATGGCTGGAACCCCCTCCCCTGCAGTAGTTTGACTTTGAGTTTGACTTTAAGTTTGGACTTTGATACTTACTCGTGTAGGGATGCTTATTCGTGGGTGCTTAATCGTGTAGAGTATGGAGTACAGATCCGGTATAAGGATATAATCAATTGAATAAGGTGTTAATAGTCGGCTACTTGGAAGGCTGACGACTACTTCGTAGTCTGGGAAAGCGAATTGTTCCCCTTCAATTTTATGATAGTGAATATGAAATTTTGATGTTGGAAAGCGAAGGGACAATTCATTTTCAGGGGACATTCGCTTTCCCCGACTATTAGGGTATTAGAATATTGGAGTATCAAAGTATCGGGGATAGGCTTTCGGGCATACGGATGTCTTGCTGCTGTCACTGAGAAAGCCAATCACAACGTTCATCTAAATATCAACTCTAAGTACCAGTCCAGAACACAAAGATTCTTGAGAATTTTCCTTGTGAATTTGCGATAAGGTATCAGATATATGGATTTATGAATTCATGATAAGATACTAGATATTAGATATACGAACTGATACCGCTATCTGACCTCCTTGATTTGTTTAGTATTGCAGGATAGTGGGTTAATATGATGAGTTTGCTATGTCGGTAGATGCAGAAGTGACATAGGGTGACATCGTGCGAATGCTCAATGTCTCGTTTGGGATAAACTTTAACGGTTTTGCTTGTTAATACTTTTATTACTCGGAAGGGGTGATTCGATTACACTCTGTAGATTGTGAGATTGAAAGTATTGCGAGAATTTGGGGGGTTATTTTGTCATCTTATTATAGAAGTTGGGAAGTCTGTATATGCTGGGAGTAGATGCATACAGTGTTGAAAGGTGCAGTTCGGTAGCTAAATAAGTTACATATTCGCTTTAGACTTAACATTTCGGAAAGAACTAACGTATATAATAAATATACAAGTGGAACATATGAGAGAGAGATTTATATGAGATATTTATCAGGAGGATGAATAGTAATCATTGAAAGCAAACAAAATACCACTTAAGTGGATAAAATATACCATTTTCGGAAGTCATCGGACTAAGTGTCCACTAAATAGTTTCTATAGGTCCCATTTGTCCTTTCTAATTGATTGTGTTTCTTCTGTATGTGCGGGTAGATCAATATGTAATCCAGCAAAAAAGTGGTGCTAAGGCTCACATTAGCTTTCCGTCCACTCATCGAGGTTATCCACTCCATCGCTTCGGAAAAGTCTTTTACAACCCGACATCTACTCTACGTACATCAATGCACCTCAAATATCCACAGCATGTTACAATCACAACCACAATCATAATTACAATCAAAATTACGATTGCAATCACCATATCATATCAGAGGCGACGGCATCCTCTAATGAAATTATCGAAATGCTTTTATGCACCAATCAAATGAAGAAACTCAATTCATTTTCCCCATACCCCAACATTCCATCATCCCCACATCCCCAGATATTCGGTAAAAGATTTAAGAAATAGCCTCAAAAAGTTGAGAGGCTAAACGGTCATGGAGCATATTGACTCCGAAGAAATAAACCCGCGCGAATTGGATTAACGAGGGGCCGCGCAACACAGCTCCACCTGTTTTCATCCCTACCTTTTGTACACCTTGGTAAATGCCGACTTTTCATGTCCCCACGAAAGTTCGTGAATAGACCACGAATCATTTCATCTTGGTATGTAAACCATATACGGGGCATTCATTATCGACATTGTTACAAACCATTCGTAAATTGCATACCTTTCTTATCTTCGCATTAATTGGTGGCAAGGTCCACAACTTACGAGTGAATGGAAGGTCGGGACTGAACTACCGTGGATAGTTGACAGGGGAAATTCGTGAATGCGGCGGCATCATGGAATTCAGGACAGGGGCTCCAGTTTATTCGAGAGAGATGGTGTGGAGAACGCTTTTGTTTAGCTGAATATGGGGAAGATTTTCTCCTATTTTAAAGAGGTATCCTCGATTCGAGTTGAACATTTTGTGCTCGAGAACTTCTTCTTTGTTCCCGTTACGAGTTCCTCAATTTAAGTACTTGGAGTTTTGGAGTTTCAATTTTACAGTATCAAACTCTTTTTGATTTCTGAAAAGATTGAAGTTGATTCAACATTGTGCATCTTGATTGTTGTGCAATTTAAGAATATCCACGATTCATTGGAGGTGAAATTTTGATATCGAATTGTCTCGAAGGAACGAAACAATGTCAGCTACCAAAGACGTCATCGAGCGCGAGGATTCGAGCCCAAGTGGTGAATTCTCCGAAAATATCGACCACACAGCAACTCGTGCGACTTATATCGAAGCAGATGAGTTATCTCGAGAGCATAGAGAATATCTTCTATCAAAACATGGAACTCTGGATCTAGATCCTCTGCCTAGTCATAGTGATGCGGATCCATACAATTGGACAAATAAAAAGGTATACATTGAATTATTTATCTATTCCAAGACCTCACTGATGAAAAGTATAGAAAGTTACAAACCTTTTCCTCGTTGCATTTCATGCTTGCATGTCAACTTTTACAGCAGCAGCCATTATTCCTGCCTACGAAAGCATTGCAGAAGAATTAGGTATATCTTTACAACAAGCTACATATCTTACTTCGCTCCAAATTGCCATTGCGGGAGTTGCTCCTCTATTCTGGAAACCACTATCCAACATTTACGGACGAAGACCTTTATTTCTTATATCACTTCTGGTTAGCATGGTTGGAAATATAGGATGTGCTAAGTCACCTACCTATGCCAGTATGGCAGCCTGTCGTGCAATCGTTTCTTTCTTCATCTCTCCAGCTGCAGCAATTGGTAGTGCGGTCGTCACAGAATCATTCTTCAAAAAAGATCGAGCTCGTTATATGGGAATCTGGACACTGATGCTAACAGTTGGTGTACCATTTTCTCCCTTCATCATGGGATTTGTCGCCGTTCGCGTAGGTTGGAGATGGATTTATTGGATCGTCGCAATTATTAATGGTGTTCAATTCATTGCATATCTTTTCTTGGGTGCAGAAACTCGTTACCTTCGTCATGGAGTTCAGCATCCTAAATCCTCTTTCAGAGAAAAGTACTTTACCTTTCATCGAATTGACCCTACACCTCTTCGCATCTACGATTTCGTCCATCCTCTCACCTTATTCGCCAAACCATGCATCTTCATTCCCGCCGCCGCATACGCCATGGTCTTCCTATTCGCATCAGTCATGATCACCGTCGAACTCCCCCAATTATTTGCCGCCAAATTCGGTTTCGACGCTCAACAACTCGGATACCAATTCCTCGCTTTAATCATCGGTTCCATAATCGGCGAACAACTCGGAGGTACACTCTCTGATTTCTGGATGAATCGCCGCACGCGCAAAACAGGTGTACAACCAGCCCCCGAATACCGTTTATGGTTAAGTTATGCAGGATTCATCCTCACCATCGTCGGAGTCGTGGTTTTCCTAGTAAGAACTGAACAGGCGAGGGATATGCATTGGAATATTACACCTGTGATTGGTATTGCAATTGCGGGTGTTGGAAATCAAATTGTTACGACCGTTTTGATTACTTATGCGGTGGATTCACATTTGGAGGAATCAGCTAGCATTGGTGTTTTTGTCACTTTTGTAAGACAGGTTTGGGGATTCATTGGTCCTTTTTGGTAAGTTATATTTACTTTCTCATCTTTACACCTCTCAATGGTTACTAACACTCTATCGTAGGTTCCCCTCAATGTTCACAAACCTCGGTCTCTCATCCAGTGCAGCAGTAGCTGCTGCTCTCCTCGTCGGTGTTAGTATCATCCCAACATTCATCATACAATTAATGGGGAAGAGATGGAGACCATCTAGACCCGCAGATACAATTGGACGGAATAGTGATGGGGAACAAGGTGTTGTGGTTGGAAATGCAGTTGGGGATGAGGAGAAAAGGGTAATAAAGTCATGATTGATGATTTAATGAATTTTATTTTTTTGCGCTAAAGTTAGAGATAGATAGAGTCATTTGGGGGCTTGTGAATGCATTTTTCAATGTTTGGATGGGATTTGTATATGTATGGATATGGAAATGGAATAGATTATGTTAAATGGTTTGAGAAAGCTCTCTGTTGTATTACTTAAGAAATATATACACTCAAAAATATAACCTCATTATTCAAGAATATACAAAGTAAGATTATAAGAATATCGCTTTTATTTCATCATCTCCTGTTTTTGTATAGATTATAATTCTATAATATAATGAAATGAGTGTTACGTGACGGTTGTTACCCACTAGTGGCTCACGTGCACTAGCCCTGTATATAAAGACCTTCTTACTTAGAATCTTCTTAGTTCTTTAGTTTTAGATTCTAAGTGATTGAATTGACTCCGTTTACGACTTTTCCGTCACAATGAGATCCTTTTTTGTTCTATTTATTTATTCAGAATTTATAGATTGATATTCAATACTTTTATTTATTAATAAATTTCTAAATATATATCAGAAGTTTTATTATAAGTATAAAATTTTAATTTTTATATTAATTTAAATTATTATTATTAT